TTTCGACCTCATCCTAGGCTAGTACGATATCCGAGACACCCGTCGTATTCCTATCGCGACCCCGGGGAGTGGGTCTTCCAGGATGTGGTACATGAGGAGGATGCGCATACTATTTTACTGCGGGGTCAGATTCTTCCGAACATCGTCTCGGCGATCGAGTTGTTCCATCGTGAGCTGGCGGAAACGTACCAGCCGCTTACCGAGGATGAATTGCGGGGGATCATCTGGGGCATCGAGGACGAATTGCATAGGATGGCACTCGAGGATGAGGAAGCGCCCGAGTCCGCGGAGTGAAGCGTGCCTCGCAAGAGACGGGGTGGCGCGCACGAGGCGGCGGCGCGGGGGGCGGGCGTCGGGGGCGGATCGAGGTTCGAGGCTTCCGGGCCCTCGGGGGCCCTCATGGTCGCCGCGGTTGGGCGCGGCTCGGAAAACTGGCGCGTTTGGCCCCGCGTGTCCTGGAGGTTGGCCCACCGCGCCGCCCCGCGAAGCCTGGGCGCTGCCTCTTCGGTGCTGGACGCGGCGCCCCAACTGCGGACCTGTGACTTCCGATCGGAGGAACGCGCCGCTATGCCATTGCATGAAGAGCCACGCCAGAAACCTTGCAATACAGCGCAGCAAAGCGCACATGCGATCCAACGATCGAGGCACTACTACGCCTGAGACTACGATTTCTTATGGGCCATGATCATATTTTTAGCAGCAAATGTGTCGATCTTATGATCGCGCAACCTATAGAACATATTCATAATCACCATCAAAAGTGTAGCAAAACCTATAGGACCCTTTAAACAGACCCCCAGAAGTGTCAGCAAACCTATTGAGTTCACAAGGCCGCGGCGCAGAAGAGTAGGACGAGGATGACAATGAAGGGGATGATTGCGAAGAGAAAGAGGGGGGGATAAAATTGAGGAGTGTGGTGATAATGGTGAGGGAAACGATGAGAAAAGGGGGTGGAGGGATACGACGGATACGAGGAACATAAGGAGAGGACTCAGGAGGGAGATGCGTTTAACAAAACAGCAGGACCTGATTATGATAGGGGATAGGGGAGCAGGAAAGAGGAGGACAGGATACCGAGGGGGTGACGATGATACATGCAATGACAAGGGAAAGGATGATGATGATCAAGAAGGGGAGGGGTAGGGAAAGGGGAAAACGGGAGGTGAGGAGACGAAGATGAAACGCGCGGCAAGAAGAGAAAGAGTGGAGGAGGGGGAGGAGGGCGGGGGAATGAAGCCACGAGGCCGTAGGATGCCGTAGGAGCAAGAGGAAACTTGGAGGAGGAATGAAATGAGGATTGGGTGGGGAAGCAGCAGGGGGAGGGTGAGCAGCAGGAATTGCAGGAGGAACGGAGGAGGAGGAGGAATTGATGTGGGATTGTAGGTCCTGGTGGAATTTATGGCGCGCGTTCGATTCAATTATCCTCCCTCCTCCCTCCTTTTTTCCCCGCCGTCTTTCCATCCCTTTCCTTTTCGATCCCCCCCTCCTCCTTTTCCCCCCCCTCATCCTCCTCCGCCTCCTCCCTCGCCAATATCTCTCTCTTTATGGCTCTTTCTGTCGCTGTCACTGTCTCTGACTCTGTCTCTCTCTCTCTCTCTGTTTCTCTCTCTCTTTTCTCTCTCTCTCTCTGGCGCCTCTCTCTTTCTCCCTCACTTGCTTGTTTCTCCTCCCTAGCCCTATCTCTCTCCTGCATCTCTCTTTCTCTGTCTCTCTCTCTCTCTCTCTCTCTCTCTCTCTCTCTCTATCCTCTATCCGTCTTCAGTCGACTTGTCTGTATGTTGTCTGCCTGTCTGTTTCCATTTCCCTCTCTCTCTCTCTCTCTCCACCCTCCCCTGCACCTTCCTCTCCTCCGCCCTCGGGTGGGGGAGAGACTGCAGCCATTTTGGCCATGCAGGAGGAGGGGCAACTGCCCCTTGTGGCCCTGGGGGGGTCGCCAGATCCGGAGCCCAAGAAGAGAAAGCCAGGGCGCCCCCCAGGGTCCAGAAATAAGGTACCAAAAGTCTTGAAAGACTTGGCCGCCAAGGCCAAGGCCAAGGCGGCCCCAGCCGCAGCCCGGGCCCCGGGCCCTCAGAGGGGTGCGGATGGCCGCTATGTCGCGCAGCTGCCAGCTGCTGGGCCGCCCCTCGCCGTGGCCCTCCCGAGCTGCCAGGCGCTGGCCCAGATCGAGTTGGCCCTCGCCAGGGTTTCCTGGGGGATGAAGGCTTAAGGCTTAAGGTTCAAGGCTGAAAACGTCGGCCCCGCGTCGAATGGCAGTTCGGGGCGGTGGGATGCCAGTGAACGATTCGATTGCCCACGGAGGCAAACGAATCGTTCACTGACAATCGAGGGGCCTTGACGGGCCATGACGCGCCACGCAAGCAACCGATCGACGTTCAGCATCACGCGCGCGATAGGCCCAAATGCTGACGGGGCCGTTGCTGCATCGCGGTGATCAATGGCTCTGAAAGCAGACGCGTCCACCGCCCCGAATGGCCATTCCACATGAGAGCCCCCGCCAAACCTGGTCGTGAACAGGCCCACGTCATCCCCGACCCAGACACCCGAACGGCTCTCCCCTGAGAGGTGTCTGGCGGCCCCTCCTGGTCCTGGTCCTGGTCCGTCCTAGTCCTAGTCCTAGCCCCTAGCCCCTAGCCATCGCGCCCGGGAGTGCGGCTTTATAGAAGCCAGTTCGGATGCCCTGATCCCTCGACCCCGCTTGGCAAGCTTTACGCTTTCAGCCCAGGCACATCATCCAGAATCTGATGAGTATAAGTGTGGGCTGGCATGTTTCGATGGCTACCATACTTACTGTGGACGCTCGGCCGTGTCGGAATCATTGTTTTTGAGCCCGTGGAAGAAGATGCCGAACGCTAATGACACAGCGGGCGCGGCCATGTATGATACACCGGCAGAGAGGATTAAAAGAACTCGGTCTGGCGCAGCGGCGGCATTGGTCAAGGCCGAGCGTGTGCAGTTTGAGTCTGCGATTCGAGTAGTGAGCTCTTTGATTCGGTCGAAAGAGGTCCAGCCCCTAGTATACGTCGAGCGCGTGATGTTCGACGAATCTCCTATGCGCGCGAGGGTCCCAGGGGCTCGAAATCCAGCGAGAGAGATGGGGAGGGAGGAGGAGGCGGAGGAGGAAGGCGAGGTGGTGGTGGTGGACGAGGGGGAGGGGGGAGGAGAGGGCAGGGGGGAAGAAGGAGGGGGCTGAGGATCAGGGCGAATAGGAAAGATGCGGAGGATGAGGGATGGGGGAAGGTGAGGGGACCGCCCTGACGCCTCCCATCATCCTTCTCTTGCCACTCTTCCTCCCAATCCTCCTCCAGTCTTGCTCCAAGGCCCTTCTTCGCTCTGCGGTTTCACGCTGCTGCGATCCCCCCCTCGAGGTTTCCGAGCTGGACAATCCCGATATTCCCGGCATGGCCAAGCTCCTTCAGTCAGAGTTCGAGGTCGGATTTTTGGTGAAGAGGGTTGCGACCCAAACTATTGAATTGATTCGCGCCGAGTTCTCCACATGGCTCCAGGCAGTTGATCGCGCCACGGGAGAGAACTTCAAGGCGGCCCTCAATGAGATCAGCTATTTGCCGACAATCGTCGGAGAGACATTCCCCCAGAAAATTCGCCTGGCCTCGACAGACGACGGTTCGTCAAACGACCGTTGGTTCCGAGATTGGGAAAGATGTAACCCAAAGTGGTCGGCGTTCCGAACATCGTGCCAGGTACATAAGTGTGCGAACGTATCAAAGAGGACCGTGGAATTGACCGACGCATCAATAACTGGAGTACTGCATTGCCTCCTCTGGCTCAGCCACACAGGCAACATGAGAGGTTTCAGGAGCACGTTCTATGAGGTCGCAACGGAGCAGCTCGACATCGACTATGGCCCCCCGCCCCAGCCTGGGACTGACATGCACGAGCACCAGCGATCTCTATTCGACAACCTGCTGAAAGTTTGCAGTACTTCTACTTTCCATGACAGGTGGATGCGGTTCGTCGTGGAGTCATTGCTCAATGGGGATTGGTCCATCAGGGGTCGCGTGATCCACCACTGTTCCGGTTGCTGCAGAGACAAGGCCCACGCCGAGAGAAAGTTGCGCAAGAATCTAGGCGTGCTTTTTTCCAAGTTGAAGGTTTTCAGCCGCTCCAAATGGATAGATGCCGAGGAGGTGTGCGGCCAGATATGCGTCTTAGAGTGCGTCCACAAACTTTTCAGCGCGACCTTCCTGAGATACGCTTCGTCCCATCTCAAGCCCGATCCGAAGTCCGAGCCGCAGCAGGATCCGTCCGCAATGGCCATCGATGACGACGCTGGAGAGGATGACAAGGCCGGGCGCGATGAGAAGGAGGACCAGGGTGACCAGGGCGACCAGAGCAAAGATAAGGGCAGTCAGAGTGCCCGGGAGAAGGGTGCAACGGAGGCTGTAACGAAAGAGATCGACTGGAAGAAGTTGGTGGCATCTTGGCTGAAATCTGGGGTCGAGTGGGCAGAGGGCACGTTCTTGCAGAACCTGGTGGCGCTTCGTTTGGTGATGTCTGCCCGGCGGGCATGCTTGTCAAGGATGCTCGGTACTTGTACTATGGCTTGGGAGCGGAAGCAACAGCGCCGTGAGCGCACAGAGGGCACGCGCGACTACAAGGCCGCGCTGCGATGCCGCGGATACTATTCACAGCCTGGAGTGCAGAGGTCTATTGAATTGTGTTCTTCGTCTTCTATTTGGGCCGCAATGCCTACAGATTGCCGTTCGTCATCTCTGAGGTGTTTGGCATTCCGGTTGCTGGCGCGGAGCACGGCCGTGCTCTTTCAGAACATCATCTTGCCAGAACGGGCGTTCCCGATCCAGTTGTTCAAGCTTGTCGACGCGTCCGAGCCGCAAGTGTTCAGAGATATCTGCGCTGAGTTCAAGGCGCGCCCGTGCCTGTTCGACCCCGTGTCTTGCGATTATCTGGTGAAGTACAGCGATTCCGAGAAGCTCCAGTCTGAGGAGGCGCGCGCTGAGCTCCGACTCATCGCGGTTATGACAGAATTATGCATTGCGAGATTGGAGTGTAAATGGGCGAAGGTAAGGCTTCTGACAAAATGCCTCTCGTTGCACACATGGTCAGCCGATCTCCAGGACGTGTCGTCGCGCTTCATGTTGACCCGGAAGCGCTTCCAGCTGGAGTCGGTTGAAGTGAACCCAGACGCCGTGGCCAAGGCGGCAAAACAGAATCGCAAGATCCGCCCATATGACGTCTTCAAACGCGGGAAGTTGATCGAGCATTGGCAGGAGCATGGCCGAAAACCGACAAAAGAAGATCTGAATCGCATGACGTCTGAGTATTCAACATTATCACATGAGGCGTTCGAGGAGCTCTGCCGGAAGGCCAGGGCTGCCGAGGCGCGCAGGGCTGTCGGCATGCGGTCCCACGCCGACCCGATTCACAACATCCAGCTGGCGCCCGCTCAGGTGCCTGGCGTGCAAAATCATCCTCTTCCTTACCCACTTCCCCCTTCCCCCTCCGAAGCGAGAGGGAGGGGGGGGGGATAGGGCCAGCAGGAGGGGAAGGAGGAGGAGGAGAAGGAGGAGGAGAATCAGGGGAAGGAGGGAGCACGAGAGGAAAGGGGAGGAGAAGTAGGGATCGGATAGGAGGAGGAGGAGGAGGAGGAGGAGGAGGAGGAGGAAAGGGAGGAGGAGGAGAAGGAGGAGGAGGAGGAAGGGGAGGGGAAGATGGGGGGGAAGAGGGGGGGGATGTGGCAGGGAGGAGGAGGGGCCTGCGAGGTGGAGAGGCAGGAGCGCAACATCATCGTCAAAACGGCGATGGATGAGGCCATCGCTCTCAGCGCGGCCCACGGTCCTACCCGCCTCCCCCCTCGCCTCTCTGTCCTCGCTCTTCTCCTTTCTCCCTCCTCCCCTCCTCCTCCTCCTCCAATATTTTCCTCGCTCCTCTCTCCTCCATGCGATTTCGCTACTCCTTCCTTGATCCTCGCGCCTCTCTCATCCCTTCGCCCTCCTCATCTCTTCGGCCCCTCTCTCACCTCCCCCTACCCTCTCGCTCTGCCCGAGCCTCGGGGGCCAAAGTCTTAGACTCTAGATTCTCCCCGGTGGCTTCGCCAGCTCTGGGACGGGCTCCAGGAGGAGGGATGAGGGAATCGCAACCAGGGGGGCCAAGGTCCGGCCCCCATTGGGCCCCGATGACCCGGCCCCCAGTGGGCCCCAGGAAGACCTAAGACCAAGACCCAGCCCCCATTGGGCCCCAATGACCCGTCTCCATTTGTTTCAGCATGCCTCCCAGGTCTGCCGTTGGTTGAGGTCGCGAGGTTGCCGGAGAGCGCGATCCGCATCGACGGCACTACTGGCATGGAAGAGGTCCGCTCCCGTTTCAGAGCCCTTAGCCGTGCAGCCGCCAAAAAGCAGAGAGAAATCGATGAGAAAGATATCAATGAACAATGTATGGATATGAAGGCGAACCAGTCCAGACTTGATTTAGTTCCTATACCAGTGGTCTCATCCAAGACGGAGGCGTTTCAACATCTACCAGTGCAGTGTCTGGCAGTTCCCCACCTCGTCGCCAGGGAGTTGTCGGTCAGGGGCCCCGTCGAGGTTGCTTCCTACATAGGCGAAGGAGATGGAAGGAAAGACAGCGTCAGCCCTACAGTGAACACAGCACAAATGAACGCCACTCTGGCGCAGGGCTACCAGAACGCGCACTCCCTTTTCGTGCGCCGGGACCAGCCTCCAATGGGCAAAGTCAGGATTACTCAGAAAGCATGCCAACGATTCGGAGTCTGCGTATGCAAGCCCAAAGGCGACGAGCTTCCATCACAAGGGTATAAGGCAGCTGTTTTCACGAATAGATTTGCCCGCAGAGTTTTCAGTGCAATGCCTGCTCATCTCAAGAGCCATGCCGCACATGGGTTCCTGGTCGTTGGCCTCGCGCGCTTCGACGAGGACCACTTCGTGGATCACTACCTCTGGTTGCATGTATCCGACCTCTTCCGCAACACGAATGCAACGTTTTGGGTGCTTGACGGCCCGCGAGGACCAGAGTTGCCTAATAAATTCGTGTCGCTTCGCGTGCCAGCCAGAACGGGTTTTCTTGGAGGCTTGTCTTGGCGGGTTGTCCTGGTGGGTTGTCTTGGGGGGGAATCTTGGGGGGTAATCTTGGGGGCTGTCTTGGGAGGGGTCCTGGCGGGTTGTCTTGGCGGGTTATCTTGGGCGCCGTCTCCAGCTCCTGGCCAGGAAGGCTTCGCCACCAGGGCGTCCGCCACCAGGCCCCCGATCGTCGTCGTCGTCGTCGCCGTTGTCGCCGCCGCTGTCGGCGCGCTTGCAGGGTATTGCAAGGTATTGCAGGGTCGTAGGGTATCGCAGGGAATTGCAGGGTGTTGCAGGGTATTGCAGGGTTGGAAGAACGAGCTTCATGGCGTTAAACGTTAAACTGAACCAGTAAAGCTTAAACAGCCCTACGGCCTACGGTCCCTAACGGGGTGGTGGGATTCCTCGTGCACCCATTGGTGGTTGATGGGGAGCCTCATGTGCGTACATGTTTTCGGCTGGGTCTTGAGTTGGATCTCGAAAAGGAGTGGATGGCCATGTTCGCTTTGCTGGACCCGTCCACGCTGCCCATTCCAGACGTGACTCCAAGGGTGGTCGAGGTGTCCATGGTGGCCGACGTGGAGATGTTCGACGTTTGGAAGCCGAGTGATCTACCAGGACCAGGCCCAGGCCGTGGGAAGGGCTCCGGCAGAGGCAAGAGTCGGGGGAGCGGCGATGGGCCGCCAGATCCTGGCGGGCCTGGCGGGCGCAGAGGCCGCCAGCGAGGCCGTGGTGACTGCGGCGACCTTCTTCTCGGCGATGGCGATCCGTTTGCTGCTCTGGGTAGTCTTGTTGCGCCTCAACCCCTACCCGACGCTCCAGGCGACGCGGCCCCGGGCGCGCCAGGGCCGCTGGCATATCCAGATGTGGTGGCAGAAGGATTGGCAGCCGACTTTGACGACGAGTTCAAGGAGCGCGCAGAGAGAGCGAAGCTGAAGGGAAAGGGCGCGGACGAGGAATATGAGGAGGACGATATCTTCGCTGCCGTGTCAGGTGGTCTTGATCTTGACGATGCGCTTCAGGAGCCTCTCGATGCACCCGAGTTCATGGAGGTGCCTGAGTCGGACAGCGAGGGCAATGTGGGTTGCTACGTCCCGCTCAACAGCGACGAGGAGTGGGACTTGTTCGGTTGGTCTGATTCAGATGCCGATCTCGCTGATCTACTTCCACCTCCTGATCCAGCATCGGGAGCCGCGTCGAGCTCGACCTCCGGGGCAGCGCCCCCGCCCTCGGGCGCGGCGCCCGCGGCCGCGGAGTCAAGTTCAGCTTTGGGCGCAGCTTCAGGCTCTTCCACGAGCTCTGGGGTTCTACCGCCGCCTCCTCCTCCAGGGCCGCCTGCTGGTGGGCATCAGCAACATGATGGAGGTGCCGGAGGCGATGGATGCGGTGGCGGCGGTGGTGGAGGTGGTGGAGGTGGTGGTGGACATGGTGGAGGACCCAGAGTCGAGCGCTGGTACTTCCCTGGCGGCTACATTACTATCAAAGATACTGCCATGGATTATTCAGTTTGTGCATACTGTACTTGCGGTCATGGGGCAGCAGGTCGATGCAGGCGCACAAGGACGTTGAAGGTTCCGCAGCCGGGGCCGCCTTCGGACCTCGGGGGAGTTTCAGAGGCTCCGCGAGGGCCTCAGGAGGGCCCAAGAGAGCACCATGAAGGCCCCCAGTGGACCCCAAGAGGGCTCCTAGGGTGTCCTAGGTCCTAGGTCCTACTAGAGTCCTAGAGTCCTAGAGTCCTAGAGTCTAGAGTCTAGAGTCTAGAGTCCAGAGGAGGACCACAAAGCGAGATGCGGTCGCATCTCGCTTCGCATTAGTTTTTAGTTCAGGACCCTATCGGAGCCCTCCACTCGAGGGCCCAGGAGGGGCCCCGCGAGGGCCCCGAGTGGACCGCAGGGGGGCTCCAAGAGGGCCTCCAGGCGAGATGCCGCGGCATCTCGCTTCAAAGTAGTTTTCGGTTCCTCTTGAGCCCCTCTTGGAGCCCTCTTGGGTCTTCTCGGGGCCCTTTGGAGCCCCATCATGGGCTTCATCGGGGCCCCTCTCGGGCTCTCTCGGGCCCTCGTGTGGCCGAAGAAATGAAGCCCGTCCCCAAGAGGGCCCGCAACTGGGGCCCCAAGAGCTCCTCCAAGCTCCTCCGAACTCCTCCGAGCTCCTCGGAGAGCTCCAGGAGGGGCCCCAAGAACCAAGAGGCCCCCCGCTTCAAGAGAGGCCCTAGAGGTCCCCAGACATCGCGTTGTCTTTACATACTTCGCTCGATCATCTGCTTGATGTTACATGCAATTGTGGGTGTCCTGGCATGGCTTGGATGAGCATGATTTCTCCCCATTCCCGGCCACCTACCGAGATCGGCCAGGAACTTTCGCCAGGCGCAATATACTTTTCAGTGCAAGTGCAGATCTGCGAATATAAAGCTACTAGCAAGCAGCCAGGGGGTCCCCGAACAGCAATTTAGTTCACATATGGGGATTTCCGAAGACAGCGCCCTAGAGCCTTGTCAGGCGGCTAAGCGGTCATTAGCGGCTAAGCGGCTAAGCGGCTAAGCGGCTAAGTTTTAAGCCCCGTCTGGGGTCGACCCCCCTTGTGATTGCCCCTCCCCTTCTGACATGCATGCATGTGGTACGCTATACTATCTACCTATACTACTGTACTATAACATAAAATAGTAACAGTAGTAGCACGCTGATCGGCCCAGCTTCTCACCCAGCTCGACAAGGGCTGAGGGGGTGGCCAAGGGGCTCAGGGGGGTCGGTAATAGCAGATGGAATGGCCGAGCTTCTCACCTTGCGAGTCGAGGGCCGATGGGCTGGCAGAGGGGAGGGAAGGGGGGGAGCGATAGAAGACAGTATGCAGTAGACGGATGGAGGAGGAGAGAGGGCCGTGCATGGACAAGTGGAGGTGGGGCGGAGTTCTGTTTGGGAGATGTGCGGCATTGGTCTCATAGGGCTCAGCCGCCGCTACGGGGTTGTGGTCTCGACGGGCCATGGGTTTTTGGCCGATTGGCCAGGGAGCGCAGTGCATTCCCATATCGCTGAACCAAAAAGGAAACAAAGCACGGATTTGGGCTTTTCAGCGTCCTTGCTGCTGCGGCCACCAAGGTGGGGCCGAGGCCGGGCCAAGGCTTTCCGCTTGGTCATCTGGTGGCTTGGTTGCAACAGGGTTTGACGTGCTCGGCAGCCGAGCACGGCGACCGATACGACGTGCCGTCTCGCGCGGCCCGGAGGGCCGCCAGGGACCTGGTGACGGCCAACCCCGCCAATGCCGTTCTGTTGCAAGCAGAGGGTCGCGGCGCGCCCGCAGACATGCCTCGTCCAGTCTAGGAGCCCGACGACGTCCAGTTAGGAATGCGACTTGATTATTGTGCGTATGCGTCCCCAGGC